CCTACTTCAGTTTGTGATTTTGTATTTGTGGGGCCATTTAACAAATGTCTGTTCCTCTACTAAGCTGTGAACTCCAGGAGGTCAGGATTGGTGTTTGCCTCTCCATTGTATTCCAGCGTCCAGCCTCCTACCTGGGACACAGTGGATAGTAAATACTCGGTTCACCCACATTTTTGGAGCTGTGTTCAGTGGAGGAAATGAGGAACAGAATGGCTAGATGGCTTCTGTGGGTCAGTCTTTCTTTTGAGAACACAGTTAGTGTTAGTATCTTATTGATGCTGTAACAAGTTGACCACAAATGTAGTGACTTAAGAGCACACATTGATTCCCTTCTAGTTCTTCTAGTTCTAGAGGTCAGAAGTCAGATATGAGTTCTACTAGGCCAGAATCAAGGGGTTGGCAGGGCTGCATTCCTTCCTGGGACCGAGGGGAGCATGTTTCCTGGTCTTTTCAAGCTTCTGGAGACTGCGCACATACCCTGGGTCATGATCCCTGCCTCTGTCTTCAAAGCACATCACTCCAAACTCTGCTTCTGTCTTGACATCTCCTTCCCTAACTCCAGCCCTCTCTTATAAGGGTCTTCGTCATGAAGGTTGGTCTTCCCATCCTGGGTAATACAGTGTAATTCCTCCCGTCTCAAGAGTCTTCAATCAGTCCCGTGTGCAAAGTCCCTTCTGACAGGCGTTCTTGGGCTCATTTCCTTAGGCTGAGATGGATCCTAACTAGAAAGTTAATAGCATACATAGTCTCAAGAGGGCAGAGGTGGTCTTGCTCATTGAAGTAAAGAGACCTATCAATAAAAGTATTTTAGGGAGGTTGATTCTTGGGTAAAAGACAGGCTGTGGGTATTGTGCAGACGGGCTGGGGGTGAACAAATCTGCTTCTGGGGGAGGGCGGGGGTGGGGACTAGACTTCAGTTGCTCCAGCAGAGCACACTTACTTGGCCTTCCATGCTGAGGTTAAATGTTTAATAAAAGTTGCAAATGAGTTTTATTCTGTAGTGAGCCCCTTCAAGAAGTTATTAATATTTATAAATTCCTAGAAAACCTAGAAGGATATAGTGTTTGCCTCCAAATGAATAAAGGGAGAAGGGAAGGACTGAGCCACACCCCCTGGGTGTATTTGCTATTTGGAGAGTGGAGGAAGCATACTGTGGGGCAAGGCAGGGGCTGGAGGGGAGGAATATGGGTTCCCTGCAGGCAGCCTGGACCCCCAACAGTTCCAAGCACTTCACAAAGGGAAGAAAGTGCCCTCCTTCTGACATCAGCAAATCAAGGGCAAAGCCAGCTCTCCCGCCTCCTAGCTCCCTACTGGGTCCAAGGGATGGAATATTTGACTCTCAAAGGGAGGGTAGCTCTAGAGTTAAGACCAGATTCATCCAACAAGGAATTTATTCAGCATCTCTTATGTGCCTGGCCCTGTACCTGCCTCTGTGGTTTAGTGGTGGTTCCTACTGATTTGTGGTCACACAAGAGAGACAGACAATGAGCAAGTACGTCAGCCCCTCAGTATCAGAAGTTGAGGGGTCCCGGGACCTTCTGCAGATATGACAATCTGCCTAGGTTCAAACCCCTTATGTGAAGTGGTATAATATTTGCAAACAACCCCCACGCACCTAATTGATCTCTAAATAACCTACAATACCTAATACAACGTAAATGGTTGCAGTGCTGTTTAGGAAATCATGAGAAACAGGACAAGCACAGTATAAAAACTATTTTTAATCTGAAGTTGATGGAAGATGCAGGGCCTTGTGGGTGTGGAGGATGATAGTCAAGGAACACAGAAAATGATGGTCCGTTATGATAAGGCGACAAGACTGTGAATAGGATGTTATAACAGAGACCACGGGTCGGGGGTGTGCGGTGTGCATTTCAGAAGAGAAGGCCAGGGAGGCCCTCTCTGAACAGGTATTATTTATGCTGAGGGCCCAACAGCTGGGACAGAGGCTGTGGCTAAGCAAATGCTTTTGCCTCGGGCAGGCAAAAGCTTGGTGGGTTGAGAAGCTGATAGAAAGTGGGAAACAGTGGCCAAGAGAAAGTTGGAGCAGAGGGGAGGGAGCAGGCTCTGCAAACACACACACACACACATGGTGCCACCTTATCCATTTTAAGTGTGTGATTCAGTTGCATTAATTATATTCATGCTATTGTACAAACATCACACCTATTTCCAAAATGTTTCCATCACCCCAAGTAGAAACTCTCTATTAAACAATAATTCTCCCTTTCCCCCCCGGCCCCCCCCCACCTAATTCCCCTCTAATATACTTTCTCTCTTTGAATTTGCTTATTATAAATATTTCATATAAATAGAATCAGACAATATTTGGCCTTTTGTGTGTGGCTTCTTTCACTTGGCTGAATGGTTTCAAGTTCTTCTATGTTGCAGTGTGTACATACTGCATTCCTTTTTTGTGGCTGAATAATAGTCCATTGGCTACATGTACCTCATTTTGTTTCTCCATTCATTTCTTGGTGAACCCTTGGGTTGTTTTTACCTTTTGACTGTTGTGAATAAATATCAGCATGCTAGTATATTTGAGTTCCTGTTTTCACTGTTTTAGATAAATACCTTGCAGTAGAATTGCTGGGTCATGTAGTGATTTAACTTTTAACGGAACCACTACATTGTTTTCTGCAGCAATCGGATCATTGACATTTCTATCAGCAATATAGGAGAGTTTTAGTATCTCTATGTCTTTGCCAACACTTTAAAAAATTTTTTTTGGATTATGGCCATCACAGTAAGTACTATCTCATTGTGGCATTGATTTGCATTTCCTAAATGACCTGTTAAGTTTGAACATCTTCTTCTGGGCTGGTTTACCCCTTGTATCTCTGTTCAAGCCACTTGTCCATTTTTAAATTGGCCTCTTTGTGGCTGAGTTGTAAAAATTGTTTTTGCAATGTTCTGAATGCTAAACTTATCGTATAAATGATCTGCAAATATTTTCTCTCGTTCTGTGGTCAGTCTTTTCACTTTCTCGGTAATGTCTTTGATGCTAAAGGGGTTTTAATTTTGATGAAGTTGAATTTATCTATTTTGTTGTTGTTGTTGTTCATGCTTTCTGTGTCATTTCCAAAAACCCATTGACAAATCTAGACTCATGGGTACTCACATCTATGCTTTTATTCTGTTTTCTCTCTTTTAAACATTCAGTTCTTGTCTAGATTTTAGAGGTCAGCCACTTTGGCAGGTAACAAAGCCTGTAAGCTAGCTAGTAAGTCACAGGGGACTCTCTGAAGTTGCTCATGGAATGGAGAAGGAAGTAAAACCTCAACAGTGACCAGGCTATGGTGACCTGTGCCAATCTAAAGCCAGGGTGAGGGTCATTGCTGGTTCAATGATATTTGTCCAAAATGATGAAAGAAAGTAAATTTTTCATAAAACTAGATTTATCCAATTTAAGAAACTGTCCATCATCTGGGTGGTTCCTTTTCATGCTATTAGAAACTTCTTATGACCCGAGACTGAGGATAGATGGTGATAGTTTCTTTAAGCAGTTGCACTTGGCAGACTTAGGAGTGATCAACCTTGTGTCAGAATTCCAAGTTTAGGGGAGGAAAATAGAAAACCAAACTATGGAGTCAAGGGTTTAGAGGTCCCCACAGACACTAGGGTTTGTTTTTATGGGCCTGTGAAGCATCTCGGGGATCTCTGCCTAATCCTTCTGTGGAAGGCTTCACAGGACCTTGCCCATATTCACTATCTTCCCCAAATATCTGATCCATTTCTGCTTTAATCATCATCTTTGTGTGAGGATTTTTTTTTTTTTTTTTTTTTTTTTTTAGAAATGGAGAGTGGGGAACAAAGCAAATCAAAGCTAGAAGGTTTTTGTCTGACTTCCTCTGCACAACCTCCAACCGATTCCTCTGAAAGATTTTTCCAGATGGTTTTCTTTTTTTGCTTAAGGTATATAAATATCAAAAAAGAAAATAAAAAACAAGAAAGGAAAAAAAAATCCTACCCCAAAAGAGAACATTGCTTTCTCACGGGAAAGAATGCTCAGTTGTACTCGGGGAATTGAATGAAGTTGGGTTAATGAGTTCACCCTTGTAAAACATTGAAATTCTCCCAAACATACTAATTAAGGTACTTTTGTCTTTTCTGTTGGTTTAAGCTTTGAAGATACTACAAACTTGGCATGCTGCAAAATGGAAGAGCCAAATTTGGAAGCAATAACATAGTCTGTACTTGGCCATCAGCCTTGCACTTGAACGGCCTCATCTACAAAGTAGTCCCCGAACTTTTTTTGATGGCACCATGACTGCGCTGCATCCTATAGTTCTGCAGTTGAATGATTTCCCCTGGAGTTGTTCAGTGCACAATCTATGCAACCATAAAAATACTCCAACAAAAATAGAAACGAGGTGTAGCTCAGTGGGTAGAGAGCTTGCCCAGCATGCATGAGGCCCCGGGGTTCCATCCCCAGCACTGACAAAATAAATAAATAAATAAAATGAACACAGACACCTAAGAAATGTGTATGTTTTTGTAAATTGCATACATGTCCTACTGTCAATATATTTAGATTATATATTGCTGAACATGATTTCTTGAAATAAAAATTCTAGAAAAATAACCAGGCACAGTGGTCCACACCTATAATCCCCGCAGATGGGGAGGCTGAGGCAGGAGGATCACAAGTTCAAAGCCAGCCTTAGCAACTCAGTGAGACCCTGTCTTTGAATAAAATAAAAAAAAGGGCTGGGGATGCGGCTCAGTGTTTGAGTCTCCCTGAGTTCAATCCCCAGTACCCTGTTCCCCGCCCCCATTCTATCAGAACAGTTGATTAGCAGTTATAGCAAGTTTCCTCTGTGTTGAGTGCATGGCTCTGAACACCCCTGGGGCAGGTAGTCTCACTTCCAAGACTCTGGCCCGGAAGAATCCCACGGTCTTCTCGCACACAGGACACGGTGGCCTCCTGACAGCCGAGTGTTCCCAGGTCTGTCCCTTCCTGCCAGGACCCACGGTCGCCCGTTGGTTTTCCATTTCAGAATACACGGTCATCAACGAAGCCTGCCCTGGAGCCGAGTGGAACATCATGTGTCGCGAGTGCTGCGAATACGACCAGATCGAGTGCGTCTGCCCCGGGAAGAAGGAGGTCGTGGGCTACACCATCCCCTGCTGCAGGAACGAGGAGAACGAGTGTGACTCCTGCCTCATCCACCCAGGTGAGCGCCCGGCCAGAGCTCAGGTGGCCTTCGGGGTCCTGCAGGTGGCCCTCGGTGGTGCCAGGATTATTAAAAGGGACACAAGTCAGCCCGTTCTCACTACGGGCAAGGGAGTAGAGGGGTGTGTACTCTTCTCAGTGTTAGCGTTGTGCATCTGTGAACGCATCCTCCACTCTATCTACCAGGTCAGTTACCGGAAATAGAGATTAAAAACAGAAAAGATGTGTTCTAGCATTTCCAGAACTCAGATGGGGGAGATGGAGGACAGGCAGCTACATTACTGTGCTGTGTAAGTGCCACACAAGTGCCATGATAGAGATGCCCAGGGGACTGTGGCAGCATGTCCCTTCCTAGAGGGAAGATCAGGGAAGACTTATTAGAGGAAGTGATGAGTACGCTGAGGATGGAAGTGACAAAATGCAAAGGGCCTAGGGGATTGGGTAGAGCATGTGCCAAGGCCCTGGGGCAAGAGCAAGCATGAGGTTTTAGGAATTGCAATTAGTTCCGACAGCCAGGAGAAACCATGTGTGATGAGAGATGTGGAGAGAGGGAGAGAGACAGACACCAAGAGGAGAAAGCAATCTGAAGGAAGAAATGGGGGGCCAAATCCAGAAGGGTTTTGCAAGCCATGCTATGAATTTTAGGCTAAATCCTGAAGATATTTTGCTAAGTGTGTGTGTGTGTGTGTGTGTGTGTGTGTGTGTGTGTTGGGGGATGCCAGGGATTGAACCTGGGGTGCTTTACCACTAAGCTACAGCCACAAATAATATTAATAATAAGAAAAGAGAACATTTTAAAAATTTTGAGATGGGTCCTCACTAAGTTGCTGAGGTTGGCCTCAAACTCATGATCCTCCTGACTCAGCTCCCTAAGTCTCTGGGATTATAGGCTTGCACCACTGCTCCTGACCAGCCTTGGAGATCTTTTAAAGAAGAGGTGGGATATGACTTGAGGCAGGAGAGAAATAAGAGGACCTTAACAAAGGTAAAAGTCGGATGGGTAGAGAGAGGTGGAGGGATTTGGGTCATCCTGGGTTGGCTGGGTAGAGAAGGAGAGAGGGGAAGGAAAGAGCAGAAGTCAAGGAGGATGCTCTTAGCTATGAGTGGGACAGCTTGGAAGTGGTCCAGTCACAGGAGAGTGTCTTTGGGTGGGATGGGACCTTCCCAGGCCCTTCTGTACCACCCCCCCATTTTTTGCCTTTATATAAAGCTGAACCTGACTTTTGTACCACCACTCTCCTGCCCCCACCATAGAGGGGACTTAATGCTCTTTTTTTTGTTTGTTCTATTTAGATGTACCCGACAGTAGAGTGTACTTTGACATATCCATACATGGAGTATGACTTCCCAATCTTGTGGCAGTACATGATGGAGTTTCACTGGTCGTGTATTCATATGTGAACATAGAAAAGTTATGTCAGATTCATTCTGCTGTCTTTCCTATTCCTTTCCCCTCCCTTCTCTTCATTCCCCTTGAATTTTTATTCCAATGAGCTTCTATTTCCCGCTTCTCTTATTGGGTGTTAGCATCCGTAGTATCAGAGAGAACATTTGGTCTTTGGTCTTTGCTTTTTTTTTTTTGGGGGGGGGGGATTGGCTTATTTTACTTAGCATGATCGTCTCCAGTTCCATCCATTTACTGGCAAATGCCATAATTTTAGTTTTCTTTATGGCTGTGTGATGTTCTTTTTAACGGTTGTAGATTTGATAACTGCATTGAAGTTCTCAGCTGGGTAGGGGCCAAGGTGGACTGAAAGTCATAGTGCATAATGTTTCTGATGTGATTGGCAACTCATTGAGCATTTTCCCGATGCTTGAAAAGCAAGGAAGTATTGCTGCCTTATGCTTCTGACACCTCCCAGAGTCTCACCTTTCCCTGTTTAGGCCAGGTCAGAAGAAGGACATTGAGATTTTTCTTTTCTATTTTTTTTTAATTTTAGTTGTAGATGGACACAATACCTTTATTTGTTTTTATTTTTATGTGGTGCTGGGGATGGAACCCAGTGCCTCACGCATGCTGGGCAAGCGCTTTACCACTGAGCCACACCCCAACTTGGACATTGAGATTTTCAAATGAGCTTTCCAAAGGCTGATGAATGCAAGGATAAAAAAAAAATGGGCTTTGGGAATTTCTCTCATTTCTCTCTTTTCCACTTCTTTCAAAAACAGAGAATGATGCCCATTTCTGCCAGGGACTTTGTTTTATGCAAAGCTATGAAAGAGGAAAGAAAATGGGGCTCAAGTCTGCAAATGATCCTTCTAAGTCCTTTCTCCTTGGAAGAGAGTCATGCTGGGTTTTAAATTAGGAGTGACTTCAGCATAACTTTTGTATATTTGTTTCCAGAAAAGAAATCCACTGCCCCAATTTCCTGATGGGTGAGTGTGGTTTGCAGGGAAATGGTTGAGTAATGCCTTCCAATTTTCTTGGAAAATTTGAGAGTAAAGCCTGGGTCTCTCTACTAGGTGTCCTTGGCAGTGATATGGGAGTCTTTGAACAATTTTCAGTATTTTCAAAATCCTTGTGGTTACTATTGGCTAACCACTAGCACAGACTCTGCTGTTACAAGATGACCTGAGGTCAGCCGTCTGATAGGCAAGAGAACCGCATAGATGGTGCAGGGGGGCTCCTGACCCATCATGTAGGAGGCACCCAAATCTGCAACCATGATGCTGGGACTGATCACTGGTTCTAGCCAATGAAAGACTATCCAAATTAACTATTTGGTTACCCTGAAAGGAAAGGCAAGATAAAGAAGAAAGGCCGTCTTTTAAAACTAAATTATAGAAGAGTGAGTGCGGATGCCCTCAGCAGTCACCATTGATGAAAGGGGATTCTCTGTGGGTCATTAAGAAAGTCTCCATTTTTATTTATATGTGCAATTGAATCATTGTCAGTCAGTATCCATTTTAACCCATGCACCTCCAGTCTTAGGATACTGGGCGCTCCCTCATGTCCTTCTGTGTGCTTCTGACATGACCACACTTGTCGTAGGCTTCTTTGATTCTCCCAAGACAAGGCATTTCAGACTTGTACATTTTCTGCCCAGGTCTGGAATTAGTCATTTCTTCAAGGAACTCTGACCCGAGACCACAGTCTGGGACCTCAGGAGTGTTTCTGATAATTGGATTGTCATTGTTAATAGGTGGGTTTTTTTTCCCCCAGTGGATGGAGCTAACAAATCTGCTTTTTTTTTTTTTAATATTTTTTAGTTGTTGATGGACCTTTTTATTTATTTATTTATTTATTTGTATGTGGTGCTGAGAATCGAACCCAGTGTGTCATGCATACTAGGCAAGCGTGTTACCAGTGAGCCACAACCCCAGCCCTGACAAATATGTTTTTTAAAAAATCGATCTATGTGAGGGGCTAGGGCTGTGGTTCAGTGGTAGAGTGTTTATCCAGCACATGTGAAGCACTGAGTTTGATCCTCAGCGCCACATAAAAATATTGTGTCCACCTAAAACTAAAAAATAAATAAATAAATGAATCTGTGATATTCAAGATTATTTATGTCTTTAATTTTTTTTCTCATCTTAAGACTTATTTCTTATTGATACTAACCTAATTACTTATTGGCTTTATCTTATGATAATAGAATTGTGCAAAGTTAACAATAGCACTATTAATACTAACAATAGGACCACCGAATGAAATTATGATTTCTTTATGGTTACTATTGACCTTAGACTATGTCCCATGAGGTATGTGCTGTGAAAATACTACATTTAAAAATCTATGTTGGGTTTGGGATTGTAGCTTGGTGTTGCTTGCCTAGAATGTCCGAGGCCCTGGGTTCAATCTCTAGATGCCCTCCCAATCAAAATCAATTGATGTGGCTAGGCGTGGTGGGGCGTGCCTGTATTCCCAGCTACTTGGGAGGCAGAGAAAAGACAATCACAAGTTTGAAGCCAGCCTGGGCAACTTAGCAAGACCCTGTCCCATAAAATAAAAAAGGGGCTCAGGGTGTAGCTCAGTGGTAGAGCCTTAGCCTAGCATGCCTGAAGCTGTCCTGGGTTCAATCCCTAGTACCACCACCTATTTGATGTATAGAGTGGCTTACTGTTTTCCATGTTTGAAAAAACAAGCAATTGTGTGAATATATATATAGTGTGTGTGTGTGTATCTATATCTATCTATCTACCTACCTATCTATCTATCTATCTATATCTTTCCCCATTTCACACAAAAGATATTTTACCATAAACAATGCTATCTTCCTTTTCTCATGAAAAGCTAGAGATTACTCCATATCAATATAAAGCCATCTTCACTTTTCTTTTCTTTCTTTCTTTTTCTTTTTTTTTTTCACAGTTGCTATAACTGCGTTGTATGGGTGACCATCATTTATGAACTTTTGGGTTGTTCCTAACCTTTTGTTATTATAAGTTGTATATCCCTTCTCCAAAACCCTTGGGACCAGAAGTATTTTCGATTTGTTTTGATTTTGTAATGCTTGGGTCTACATGATGAGATATCTTGAATATCATTTAAATTTGAACATGAGGCAGCAGAATACAACAGACACTAGTATGGCAGTATGTAAAAAAGTGGATGTGGAACCGATGTGAATCTGCAATATGTATTCGGGGTAAAAATGGGAGTTCATAATCTGCTTGAATCAAATGTATGAAATATGATATGTCAAGAGCTTTGTAATGTTTTGAACAACTAATAATAATAAAAAAAATAAATTTGAACATGAAATTCATTTATGTTTTGTATACACCCTTTACCCAGCCTGAAGGTAATGTTACAAAATATTTTCAGTATGCCCACATTTTGGCTGCTGCCTGTCACAGGAGGTCAGATGTGGAATTTTCTGCTTGTGGTGTCATGTCAAAGCATAAACATTTTGGATTTTAGTGCAGTTTGGACCTCAGTTTCAGATTAGGGATGGTCACTGTATGGGCAGTGAATACACTTCGCACACATCAGTTAGTATTTTGTAAGTGTATCTTGGAGGTATGATGCTAGCAGAGGGGTCAGTGGGTCCCTTGGGAGTGCATATGTCATTTTCTGGCCTTTGCCCAATAGTTTTCTGTGCATTTGGCCTTCACTCCAGCAGTGTATGAGGGTGCTGTTTTTTTTTTTCCAAAGCCTTACAACAAAATGTGTCATTTTGGACTTTTGCCAGTCTCATAGGTGGAACACGGAATCCAGTGTGGCTTTAGTTGGCATTTCTACCGTTATGGTAGACAGTGAGCATCTCTCTGCTGCTGGTGGTGGTTCAGGACCATAAAGGTCAAGGGACACCAATGACAGGGATGGCAGTGTGACATCCAGCAGCATCTAGCAGCACCATGGTCCTCAGTGGGCCGATGTAGTTCTAGGCTGGGCAGCCCTGCAGCAGGTCCTGTGGCAATCTGTGTGCTACCTCCTGTCTTTGATCATGGCCTTGTTCATGTTAATCACTAGATTGGTTTTTGGGGCTTGTATCTTAAGGACCTTGACTTGCTGTGCCAAGAAATAGACTTGGCAGGGCCACTGAGGGAGGGAGGTTCTGAGTCCATTTACCTCCTCTGTAGCATGGTGAATAGGGATTTAAAGAGGAGCTTGGCACGTGATGGGGGTTGGCTTTTGGAAGGCACAGTGATACCCATGGGACTCCGTCATGTGCCATATGACTTACTGGAATTTGATGAATCATATTAGCAATTCGTCTTCTCCAGAAGGAGGGAAAGGAAACTCAGCATAGTGTAGAAAGAGGGCTACAAGTCTCTTCTGTGGAACACACGCACACACACACACACATTAAGGTCAATAAAAACCTAATTTCAGTTGACAGCAAAGAAGCTCACGGATGCTGAAAGACTTGCTGGCTATCAGGAGCAGTTCATGAGACATTCATTTGTTCACTCAGCCACTCAAGTAATATTTATTGAGCACTTGCTAGGTGCCAGCACTGTATTAGGTGCTGAGGATATGATTTTGAGCAAGATATGATCTTGACTTGAGTCTGTTATAGGAAGACGGGTCACAGGAAGAGAAAATTAAGCCTGACATGGGCCATAACAGGGATAAGCCAGGTGGGGTCACTGGGAAGCAGAATAGTAACAGTCTCACCTCGAGAGTTCTTACTGTATGCCAGGCACTTTACCTGTGCTCATTTACTTTTAAACAATTCTAAGAGGCAGATACAGTTTTTAATCCCAGTTTGACAGATGAGGGCTCTAAGGCCTGAGGACCTTAAAGAATTGGCTCCAGAACCCCAAACTGGACAATGGCAGACTCAGAAATTAGCTCTGTTTTTGATAAATGGGTAGGAATTATTTATACCTTTCCTCATTATCCCTAGCCACTCAAGAGGCCATAATTTTGAAAGATTTATGCCTGGGAATTGCTCAGCCCCTGAGCTGCGGCTTGCTGGTGGGGCTGCCTGGCACTTTTGAGGGTAAGAATTATGTCAGGCCTTGGGGTGTTTCCAGGGGCAAACTCTGGGTATAGAAAGATAGAAGAAAGAGTGTCTAATGGCACAAGAAGACATTTACTATCTGTTATTCAATTAAAAGGGAGTTATAAAAAGAGAATGGACAGTATGTAGTTACAAGTCTAGCTTTTAAAATGATGTATGTGTATGCATGCAGAGAAAGTATTAGCGGTAGAATTCTCTAAGTCACAGGATATTTGTGTGTGTGTGTGTGTGTGTGGATGTGGGTGTTTTGTTGGGATTAAACCAAGAGGCACTTTGCCACTAAGCTATATCCATCAGCTCTCTTAGTAATTTTTATTTTTATTTTTTTGGACTGGGGATTGAACCCAGGTGTGTTTAACCCCTGAGCAACATCCCCAGTTCTTTTAAAAAATATTTTATTTAGAGACTTTTATTTAGAGGTTTTGAACTCGCCATCTTCCTGCCTCAGCCTCCGGAGCAGCTGGGATTATAAGCATATGCTGCCACCATGCCTGGCTCCCTGAGTCACACTAAATTGCTGAGGTTAGCCTTGAACTTGTGATCCTCCTGCCTCAGCCTCCTGAGTTGTTGGGATTATAGACATGTGCCATTGCACCTGGCTAGATGTTAGGATTTTAAGTTTTTTTTTTTTATTATTAGTATTGAATTCTTTTTGCTTATCATAATAATTTCACGTAAACGTGAAATATTTATATAAGGACAAAAAATAACACTATATTGATTGATTCTCTTTTACTCTAAGCGATTTCATGTTACTTTAAACATCAGCCACTAACTGGGAAGATGGTTCGGATCACTCCTAAACTCTCTAGTTAAATCCTGATAAACCTGGCATTTTCCAGTTTTTCCTAAGGACTGTGCTACTTTTCTCTGTCCTGATGCCCCACTAGAGCCAGGTGCAGGTGTATCTCTCATGCGGACCATCAGAACCTGCAAGCATGGAGACTGAGAATCTTCTTGGAAATGTTTCAGGTTGTACCATTTTTGAAAACTGCAAGAGCTGCCGGAATGGCTCGTGGGGGGGCACCCTGGACGACTTCTACGTGAAGGGCTTCTACTGTGCAGAATGCAGAGCCGGCTGGTATGGAGGAGACTGCATGCGTAAGTAGACCCGGAACCAGTTCTGTCACTAATGCACACGGTTTTACAGTTTCACTGTACAAGGGACTAAAGTTCATCTTGTTGGAATCTGAGTTTTGGAAGGTGTGGGGCCAGCGGGCTTTCTAGGCAAGACTATAAAGCAAAGCTATGTTTCCATCTGCTGGGTTGTGGACATCTGTTCATTCCGGATTGTTGGCCCCGGGAGGTTTCTATCCGCCCTTTGAGCTCGCCTCTCTCCTGGATGAAGCCCAGGTCATCCATACACAGCGTGACCCATGTCCCTTCCAGAGGCAGTGGTGGTGGCAATGGCCAGCAAATGTGAATAAGCCTTCAAAAATGTTGTGTTTGCTGGGTGCGGTGGTGCACGCCTGTAATCCCAATGGCTTGGGAGGCTGAGGCAGGAGGATTGTGAGTTCAAAGCCAGCCTCAGCAACTATGCAAGGCCCTCAGCAACTAGCGAGACCCTGTCTCAAAGGGCTGGAGATGTGGCTCAGTGCCCTTGCGTTCAATCCCTGGTACCAAAAAAAAAAAAAAAAAAAAAAATGTTATCTGTAATGCTTTTTATTTTTTGGGGGGGGGAATCGAACTCATGGGCTCTCAACCTCTGAGCCACATCCAGCCCTATTTTGTATTTTATTTAGAGTCAAGAGCTTACGGAGTTGCTTAGAACCTGGCTTTTGCTGAGGCTGGCTTTGAATTTGTGATCCTCCTGCTTCAGCCTCCCAAGCTGCTGGGATTACAGGCATGCACCATTTTGTCTGACTGTAATGCGTTTTATTTTATTTTATTAAGTTGATTTTTTAAAAATAAATGGCAGCTGAATGCATTACAATTTTTATTACACACATACAACACAATTTTTCATTTCTCTGATTGTATATAAAGTATGTTCACACTAATTTGTGTCTTCATACGTGTACTTTGGATAATGATGTCCATCACATTCTACCATCCTTGCTAACCCCCTGCCCCCTCCCTTCCCCTCCCATTCCTCTGTCCTATCTAGAGTTCGTCTGTTGCTCCCACACTCCCCCTCCCTACCCCATCATGGATCAGCCTCCTTATATCAGAGAGAACATTTGGCATTTGGTTTTTTTGGGATTGGCTAACTTCAGTTAGCATTATTTTCTCCAATGCCATCCATTTACTTGCAAATGCCATGATTTTATTCTCTTTTATCACTGAGTAATATTCCATTGTGTATATATGCCATATTTTTAAAAAATCCATTCATCTACTGAAGGGCATCTAGGTTGGTTCCTCACTTTAGCTATTGTGAATTGTGCTGCTATAAACATTGATGTGGCTGTGTCCCTGTAGTATGATGTTTTTAAGTCCTTTGAGTATAGACTGAGAAGAGGGATGGCTATATGTCTCTCCGTTAGTAAATTTTTTGAATCCCAAGCTAAATTCCTGAAATATACCAACAAATTGCCAGTATAATATTTGTCCTAAGAAAGGGATTCTTTCTGGAAGCGACTTGATCTCAAAGAATTACTTAATATTTATTAGAGTTCCCCCTGAGTTTCAATAATTCTTTGAAAATAGATTGGAAATCTAGCCTCTCTCTCTGTCTAAAATTCCCTCTGTGGTGCTCTTAGCTGAACATCCCTCTAAGAGTCTGTATCTGGAACAATGTGCACATTACTTCCATTGAGCCTGTTTTTTGTGCTACCTATTTGAATCAGAAGCAGTTAGGATGGTCTTACCTTTTGAGTAGTTTTACTTCTAGGACTTATATTCCCTGTTTATAGAGATGCTGGTTGGAGTGGGATTGATATTCTTTGCCTGATCCCACCTATAGCAGGATACTATGTGTTTCAAGTGTCTAGGGCAAAGGTTGAAGTATGCCGTCTGTGGCTGAAAAATTCAATCACAGTCAGAAGAAAGGGGCTTGGTCAGAATGTCAGGGTGAATTTGGGAATTCCAGAATATGGGTAACTTTTGAAGTGCTGGTCTCTCAGTCCATACAACAGAATTGAGACTTCCAAGGGAGGCTAAGGACCAGCATATGTGAATGTCACAATGAACCCCACTATTTTGCATAATTATAGTGCACAAATAAAAACATAAAAAAATTAATTTAAAAAGGTGAAATTCTGAAAAAAAACAAAAACAAAACAAAACAAAACAAAAACCCAAACCAAAGTGCTATTTAATCTCAGGTGCAGGTTTAAAACTTAGAAGCCATTTTAGGTGGTTTTAGGAAACTTGATTTTGGAGTTGGTAGACTATCTTCCAGGTAGGTTAGCTGTGAGATTTAACCCTGGTCTTCCTCTGCCAGCTGCTCTGGGTGTGTACGTAGAACATCCATCAGAGCCCAAGATCTGAATGACACAGACCTGGGCTTAAGTAGTAGCCTTGCCTATACTAAGTGGCCTTGGCAAGTCATTTAACCTTGCTAATAGCAATGTCCTCTCTAAAAATGGGAATTAATAGGGCTGGTTGAAGGATTCAATGAGACAGATGCATGTGAAGCATTAGTTGTCTTCCTAGCAATAGGAAAAACTCCATGAATACAATGTACTTATCATTATTTTCCATATGCTCCTTAGTTATTGAGTTAATAGGAGGTCTAAAATAAAAATACTTTCAAAAGGAGTTTAAGAAAGAGTTATAGTGCATGGCTTTTGATTTTCTGTTGATCTTTGGAGTCTTTAAGAACTTCAGGACTTTCCTTGCTTTGGATCCCATAGAAGACTGCTCTTTGTCTTTGTGCATGAATGGGGTAGGAGGATGGGAAGGAGCTGAGGTGATCACCGGTGGTCCAATCATACATGGCCTTGTAGGGACAAAAGTTAGGTAAAGAATTTAAATGTTGTTCAGATGCAGTTGGAAGCCTAGGAAGAGGTGTGAAGGAGGCTTGAATTAAGGGCTCTGAAAAAATAAGAGAACAATTAACCACAGGCAGTGAGGGGCAGGGAAAGCTCTGGGCTATGCCTTTGCTCAGGGGCTGGCAGAAGGGACAACACTGCAGACAGAGGGAGCTGCATGGTCAGGGTGTGGAAATGAGTCTTCAGGGAAGTGTGTGACGTCAGGTGTGCCTAGATCTGTGTGGCAGTATGAGGGAGTGGTGAGAAGTGAGACTGGCAAGGTAGGTGAGACCAGATGCAAAGGGCATAGGATGCTGGATGCAGACCTCGGAGCTCATTGTGAGGATGGCGGGTGGTGTGCATTGAATGGTTTGACCTGGAAGTGACATTGGAGCACATGGTGGGTTCATGGGGTGGAGTCAAGAGCATGTCAAAGGTGGTGGTTAGCAGTGCTATTTCAGTAGTTCTGGACATGGGGTGTTGTGGGGGGCGGGCAAGATGTGAGAGAAGCTTAAAGGAAGAAGTAACAGGACTCACTGACACACTGAGAGAGGAGTGGGGCACCTCGATGGGTCATGAGTTTCCTAGTCTGAGCAACTCTGTAGAAGTGGTTGCTGTTGAGTGGGTAATAGAGGAGAAGAGGTGTGTGGGGGAGAGAAGGGGAGTCCCACTTGAGATCAGTGAGAATCTGAGCATCTGTAAGAGACCCCACAGGCATTTGGAAACAGGTTTCTGGAGCTTAAGAGAACTGTGGAGGGTGAAGACACACTCATGGGAGTTAGCTGAGATCCCCCAAGGAGCCTGGAGCCTCAGACAGCAGAGAGCCATTGACAGAGGAAAGAGAGATGAACAGCAGGGAAATAAGAAGAGGTGAACAGCCAGAAAGGTGGGAGAAGCAAGAGGGAGCCGTGTTTTGGAAGCTGGGAGAAGAGTTTCCAAATAAGACAGAAGGAGAGCAGGACATGGATAGGAAAGAGGTTTTTGTATTTGACAGCTGGCAGGTGACTGGGGACCTTACCAGGAGCGACTTGGGAAGGGGAGGAAATGTAGGCCAGAGGTTTTAAATAAGTTTTACAATCGTTTTTTAAAACTTTTAAAATAAGGGGCTGGGGTCGTGGCTCAGTGGTAGAGCGCTTGCCTAGCATGTGCGAGGCGCTGGGTTCAATTCTCAGCATCACATATAAATAAATGAATAAAATAAAGATCCATATCTTAAAAAAAAAATTAAAAAGCAACTTTAAAAATAATAAGGTAGAGATGGGAGATAAAAAGCCACAGTCACAGTGCTTATGGAACATTTCCATGAAGCACTGGGATGGTCACCAAGTAATATGATGAGCTCTTAAGGAATGTATAATCCATCCATGGAAACCTAAGAAGGTCGACCCCAAGAAGACATCAGTGTGATAAGGTTATGAGGTTCTTACGGGCACTGCATAAGTATGAGAATTCATAGGAAGATGTTATTCATTTCACTATTTGTTGAATGTCTGCCTGGGGCTGAGCATTGTGGTGCCTTCTGTGTTAAAGACAACTGAGCACGTGGGTGACTTATGGCTCAGTCACAGTGAGGATCACATGGCAATACAAGCATTTGACCAGTAGATGGCGCCCAAGCAATCCTTTCAAGCCTCTCTTTAGCCTGAAGGAGGAAGATTTATTTTTGTTTAATTTTTAAAAATATTTTTTAATTGGTGCATTTTAATTATACATAGCAGTGGGATATGTTGTGACATAATCATAAAGGCACACAACATAATTTGGTCAATTCTATTTCCTGGTAACAAGGAGGTGGGCTCCTTGCTGAGGTCTACCTGTAGGGCTCTGACATTTTGTCCCCTGAGTACCATTTAGAGCCTCACTTACTAGGAAGGAGGAGCGACAGACAAGAGCCAGATAGGATCACAGGTTATACTGGAGTTTCAGAGCCTGTGGCATGGAACAGATGCGGTAGTTTGCTCACTGTCTTGACGATGTTTATGACAGTATTAGCCTACCTCCCCGACAGTCTTAACTCATGTTCTGGTAACCCCCGGGGAGCTTGTATTATTCAAGGAAATGGGCAGAGTTCCTGAGGCCAGAGCCCAGCAGAAGACCATTCACATCTTCTCACCCAGCAAAGGTGGGTTGAGTGATCTCAAAACACCCAGGAGCTGGAGATATTTTATTATTACAAGAAAGAACTGT